TATATATGTGTGTATATATATAAAGCACAAAAATTTGTGTGTCTGTTTGTCCATTATCTAACTACTTCTAGGTCGCTGGGCCAATCTCCACCAAACTTTGTGAGATTATAGCTTGGAACAAGATGTATGTTAATGGCGGTTCACAGGCCCCCCTCCACATCCTATTATTGCTGTTATTGAGCATTTATTATCTTTGACGTAAGTTAACGTTAACTACATTCATAGATGGCGCCACGTCCTTACACCAAAAACAAAAAGAACAATTTAATTTTCTATAAAACAACATACTCACTGGGGGGGACACACAAACGTCTTATATATCTGAGATAGAACGCTAGCGATTTCTGTGGATGAAGGCTATGAAAAAATGCCGTCACTACTGGAATACTACATGAACTTAGCTAAAGTTTCTACTCCAATAGCCCCACAAGGCTGATATGAAGAGCCATTTCCTGAGTTATACCCACTTTCTACCATGACCTGTGACCTCTCAACTTCGGCCCGTAACACACTTCTGTGGTCAATGGCCGTCAATTAATTAACCACGTGAAATACTGTGGAAGGGCATTAAGAGCTTGGTGTTGAAAGCGGGTAACAGAAAGCACATCTACTGCCACTATTTTTTCCACTACTTCTTCCTACAAAGTCACCCTGACCATCGCACAATGTATACCATGTTTTAAGTATATAATAATGAGTTCATTAAAGCTTATGCAAAACTTTTAGTGAGGTAGCTATGAATACTGTAATAATATGTTATGTTATAAATTGTGTGAAATTTAAGATTTTTGTGTTATTTATTAGAACATCCAACCCCAAATTTTTTAAAGTTTATATAGTAAAAGAAAGAATGTAGTGACTCATATGAACAAATAAATGGGTAATATCGTTTTTCATTGCAACTAATTTCATTTATCTGTGTTACTCTAATGATCCAATGCTATCTCTCTCTGTCTAGATATCTAGCAGTAGTGATACACAATGATTCAAATTTCTTTCATAAGATACTTAAAAAGGAAATCTGCGTTATTCTTTATCTAATTCTTCGTTCTTGTAAATCTTTCAGTATATGTCAATTATGTTAAATTATAGCTATAACAGCGCTTTTTGTGAAACGTATGGTTCTCTTTAAAGGTCCTTAATTGGACAGTCATTCAAGATTTTATTTTTCACAAGATACAATCTCCATGAAGCATGCTTCTGTAATGACAAAAAAGTAGTTTAAATGAAAATGGGAAGAATGGATCGTTGTTATAAGCATCACAATTATCACGTAAGCAATGTATTTAGATAGGGTTGGTTTAGTTGATAAATTAAAACGTCTTAATAATCACTGAAACATTACTACCTAACAAACTGTTCATCAAACATGAAAAAATAAACAATAATTTTCCTTTTGATTATGAGTTAACTCTATAAAAACAAATACACTTATTTTTCTTCTGTTTTTTTTAATTATCCAAGTTTGTATTGTGGCAACTGATTATAAACGTAATCACATACATCTTCATTTATAGTTAATGTTACATTCACCTAAAGCTTAACCACATACATTTTCATTTATAGTTAATGTTACATTCACCTAAAGCTTAACCACATACATCTTCATTTATAGTTAATGTTACATTCGCCTGAAGCTTAACCACATA